AACCTCTTCATGGTGCTCTAATCTCATACGGCCAATTGTCAATTTAAGGACTCTACTCGAGTGCTTGGAATGTAAATTATGGCCTATCCTCTGCCCTAATCAGTGTGTTATCCATTGGTCTTTCATACATCAGTAAACGAGTCCACCAACCACTCAGATGCTCAGGCCCCCAAACCAGTATCCATCCTTAATCACTTCTCTTTCTTTCCTTTTCTATATAGTTCATTGGTAAAGTTTTCTCTTCTTTTTTTGAGTTGGAGTCTCACTCTGTCACCCAGACTGGAGTGCAGTGGCCGCTCCTGGCCACTGCAGCCTCAACCTGCTGGACTCCGATGATCCTTCCGTCTCAGCCTTCCAAGTAGCTGGAACTGCAGGTGCGTGATACCACGCCCGGCTAATAATTTTTTGATTTATTGTAGAGATGAGGTCTCGCCAAGTTGCCCAGGCGGGCCTCAAACCCGCAGTCTCAGGCAATCCACTCACCTCAGCCTCCCAAAGGCGCGGTATTACAGGCTAAGCCACCGAGCCCGGCTTTTTTTTTTTTTTTTTTTAAATAAAGTTTATTAGAGAAAGAAGAGAGGAAGAAGAGACATGCCAGAGTTGGCATGGGCGAGAGAAACTGCCTCTAATGCTTTCTTTATACACCAGTGAGGAAGGCTATTTTATTTATTTTAACATAGAATAGTTTAAATAAAATAAACAAATTTTTTTTTTTTTTTGAGTTGGAGTCTCACTCTTTTGCCCAGATTGGAGTGCAGTGGCCGCTCCCGGCCACCGCAGCCTCGCCTGCTGGGCTCCAGCGATCCTTCCGCCTCAGCCTTCCAAGTAGCCAGAATTACAGGCATGCGCTACCATGCCCAGCTGACTTTTGGTTTATTGTAGAGGTGAGGTCTTGCTGCCCAGGCAGGTCTCGAACCCGCAGGCTCAGGCAATCCACTCACCTCAGCCTCCCAAAGGCGTGGGATTACAGGCTGAGCCACTGAGCCCGGCTAATATTTTGTATAAATTGTGGCAAAAAGCTTTTATTGTAACAAAAGTAGCATACATGCTGCAAAAATTACAAAAAATTAGTTAAAAATGAAGAAAACAAAAATATACGGGCTGGGCTCAGTGGCTCTGCCTGTAATCCCAGCACTTTGGGAGGCCAGGGAGAGAGGATTGCCTGAGCCAGTGGATTCGAGATCAGCCTGGGCAACTTGGTGAGACCTCGTCTCTACAATAAATCACAAAAACTAGATGGGCTTGGTGGCATGCATCTGTAGTTCCAGCTACTGAGAAGGCTGAGGAGGATCGCCTGTGCCCAACAGGTCGATGCTGGGGTGGCTGTCAGTGTGCCACTGCACTCTAGCCTGGGCGATGGAGTGAGACTCCGACTATAAAAAAAAAAATATACACACACATACACCCCCATCTCCAAAGATTACAACCTGGGTGATGGAGTAAGACTCCAACCATAAAAAAAAAATACACACACACACACACACACACCCATCTCCAAAGATTACAACTGCTAACCCCTTAGGCCAGGAGTCCCCAACCGGCTACACACACACACAGACACACACACACACACACACACACACACACACACACACACAACCATCTCCAAAGATTACAACTGCTAACCCCTTAGGCCCAGGAGTCCCCAACCGGCTGGTCCGGTCCACAGCCTGCTAGGAAACTAGCCACATAGCAGGAGGTGAGCAGTGCGTGAGTGCCACTTGCTGTCAGATCAGCGGGGGCATTAGATTCTCATAGGCGCGCGAACTCTATCATGAACTACGCATGCCAGTGTTCTACATCGTGCGCTTCTTAAGACAATCTAATGCCTGACGATCTCCGCCACCCACGTCGGTGGAAAAACTGTCTTCCACGAAACTGGTCCCCGATGCCAAAGAGGTTGCGGACCGCTGCCTTAGAGTATAAGCCCACTAGACCTTTTTTTTTTGGTAGTAAAAATACACTTATGTGCATTTTAAAACCAACATGAGATACTGTAACATACATACTGTTTTGAGACTTGGTTTTTTCAGTTAATGATCTCCACCTTTCCAGGGCAATACATTCCATCTTATCTAATACTCAGTCCATCTATATTCAAATTTATCCAATGGTCCTGGGCATGGGGGTGCATACCTGTAATCCCAGCACTTCGGGAGGCAGAGGCAAGAGGACTGTCTGAGCCCAGGGGCTCGAGACCAGTCTGGGCAATATGGCGAGACCTAGTCTCTACAATAAATAAAAAAATTAGCCGGGCATGGTAGTGCGTGCCTATAATTCCAGCTACTTGAAAGGCTGAGGTGGAAGGATTGCCTGAGCCCAGCAGGTCGAGGCTGTAGTGGTTATGAGCGTGCCCCTGCACTACAGTCTGGGCGACAAGGTGAGACTCTGATTCAGAAAAACAAAAAAAACATTTAATAGGTAGTCTGTTAAAACCAGGATCCAAGCCAGACTGTTATGTCCCTTAAGTTTCTTCTTATAAAGTAGTTACTTTTTACATGACAATATACTATTGAAGAGACAGACCAGTTATCCTGAAGAATGTTTCACCATCTGGATCTGTTTGGTTCCTTTCTATGGTATCGTTTAATTTATTCATTTGTCTGCTGTATTTATTTTTTATTTTTATTTTTGAGGTGAAGTCTCACTCTGTCAACCAGGCTGGAGTACAGTAACATGCTCACGGCCACCACAGCCTCTATCTGCTAGGCTCAGGTGATCCTTCTGCCTCAGCCTTCCAAGTGACTAGAACCACAGGTGTGTGCCACCACACCTGGCTAGTTTTTTTGATTTATGATAGAGATGAGATTCCACCAAGTTGCCCAGGCTGGTCTCGAACCCCTGAGCTCAAGCAATCCTTTCCCCTCAGCCTCCCAAAGTGTTGGCATTACATGTGTGAGCCACTGTGCCTGGTGAGCTAGCTTTTTATTTTATTTTTTGAGTTGGAGTCTCACTCTGTCGCTCAGGCTGGAGTGCAGTGGCATGCTCATGGCCACCGCAACCTCAACCTGCTGGGCTCAGGCAATCCTTCTGCCTCATTCTTTCAAGTAGTTAGAACTGCAGGCGTGCGCCACCATTCCTGGCTATTGTAGAGATGAGGTCTTGCCAAGTTGCCCAGGCTGGTCTTGAACCCCTGGACTCAGGCAATCCTGTCGCCTCTGCTTCCCGAAGTACTGGGATTACAGGTGAAAGCCACTGCACCTGGCTATCTGTTGTATTTCTTATAATTGTGTGTTAGATGTAAAGGCTTGATAGATTCAAGTTAAATATTTTTGCCTGGTATATACCATAGATACTATATCCTATCAAGAGACAAAATATCAGATTGAGCCACAGGGTGGCCCTTTTAAATATGTAAATTGTAAATTGCTTAAGTGTCATTTATAGCTTCCTTTGCATTTATTATGCAAGATCACACAAATTCTTTAGCTTGGACTACAAGGTTCTGTAAGATTCGATGCCTGTTTATGCCTGCAGCATTATTTCATTTTCAATCACTACCTGCTTTCTAAGTTTTTTCATGTATACATTTGAGTTGGGGTCTCTGTCGCCAAGTTGGAGTGCAATGGCACAGTCACGGATATGGCAGTCTTGACCTGCTGGGCTCAGGTGATCCCTCCGCTTCAGCCTCCCAAGTAAATAGGACAACAGGTGACTGCCACCATGCCTGGCTGATTTCTTTTTTGGATTTACCACAGAGACAAAGTCTTGCCATGTTGCCCAGGCTGGTCTTGAACTCCTGGACTCAGGCAATCCTCTGGCCTTGGTAAGTGCCTGTTTCCTAGGGCCTCTGCACAAAGGCTTTCAGTCTGGAGCCTATCCTCTTGCCACTCCACTGCTCTCCACTCTTCCCCACTTCCAATGTCAAGCATCTTCTCAGACTGCAGGTGTCATTTTACTTATTTTTTAATGGCACACAAATTTATTATCTTACAGTTCTGGAAGTCAGAAGTCTGGTAAAAATATAACTGAAATGGAATCAAGGTGTCTTAAGGCTATGTTCCTTTCTGGAGACTCTGAGGGAAAATACATTTCATGCTCATTCATATTGTTTCCAGTACTTAATTACTTATGGTTATAAAACTGAGGTCCTCATTTTCTTGCTGGTTGTAAAATGAGGGTCTTTTCCAGTTTCTAGAGGCTACTGCATATCCTTAGCAGTGGTCCTTGCACTCCATCTTCAAGTCCAGAAAGGGTGGGACAATTTCTCCCATCATGTCTCTGACTCACTCTTCTTTTTGTTTCTATTGTGCTTTTGTTTTTTAATTTTTAATTTTAAAGATGTGAGGTACAATTCTGGGTTAGGTATACAAATGTTCATTATGCAGGTACCCTTGTTGATGAAATGTGTAGTTTCCCTCTACTGCCACTGCCCCCCCGCCCCCCCCCCCCGCAGTTTCCCACTACTGACCAGGTGTCATCTTAAGTTCACTTTCTCAGAGAAACCCTAGTCTAATTATCTTGTCCACATTAGTTTCCTTGTGCACAGGTGGGTGCACTCAAAGCCCAGACTTCTTTGCCACTATAGAATGAATGCATCTGTGTAACCCCAAGACCATCTGTACCCCCTAAAGCTATTGAAAATAAATAAATAAGTAAATTAGGTTCCTCAAGCGACCTTAACATCCTAAGCACCCTGTTTTTTCCCCTTATGACCTTTTTTTTTCCGGGTACCTCAGTGTCTGTGTCCCTAACTTGACAGTAAGGGACTCTGCCTACTCACTGCACTGTGCACTCAGTACCTGCACACAGCAGCCCGTCGGGAGCAGCCGAATGAACGATCACAGGTCACAATAGCTCAGTGGCTGCAAGGTCTTGGGGAGGTGGCGGCCGACTCGCGCAGGTGGTACTAACAGGCGTACTTCGCGGGATGAAAACAGTTAGGCACACGCAGAAGTGCTCAGTCCACCCACCGCGTCCGTAAGGAGGAAGGGAAGAATCCCAGCGGCGGAGAAAGCCAGGATGTTACCGCCCAGCACCGGCTGAGCCCGACCCAGGTGAACCGCGCTCCCGCGACACCTTCACGTGATCGCGGACGGCGTAAGGACCCCGCTCCCAGTGCGCCTGCGCCGCAGCTCCCGGAAGTGGCCGGACCAGAAGCGCAAGCCGAGCGCTCGTCCGTCAGCCCGTCCGTCCGCCCGTCCGCCCGTCCGCCGGCCCGGTACCCTGCGCGCCTCGGCCCTCGTAGCTGTCCCGCCGTCTATTTGGCCCGAACGACGGCCGAGGCGCTCATCATGGCGACGTTCATCTCGGTGCAGCTGAAAAAGACCTCGGAGGTGGACCTGGCCAAGCCGCTGGTGAAGTTTATCCAGCAGACGTACCCGAGCGGCGGGGAGGAGCAGGCCCAGTACTGCCGCGCGGCCGAGGAGCTCAGCAAGCTGCGCCGCGCCGCGGTCGGTCGCCCGCTGGACAAACACGAGGGCGCGCTCGAAACGCTCCTGAGGTGGGCGCGGGGCCGGGAGCGGGGAGGTAGTCTGCAGCCAGCCGCCCCTAGCTGACCCTCTTCCTGCCTCCCTTCCTCCCTCTTTCAGCCCGGTCGCCGAGGCCGGTCAGCCCCGCCCCACCCTTGCTTGGCCCGGCGCGTAGGTGTGGTCTGCATTCTTTCCTGGTGAGCCGGAGCAGCCCTGCAATCCAGCGGTGACTGTCCGCTGTCTGTCCGCCCGCCCCAGCCCTTGGTCGGTCGGGGCTCCGTCGGTCCCATACCTGGAACAGACTGTCACGCGCTGATCTCTTGCCACCTTTACTCAGAACTAGTTTTCACTTTTTTGGGTCTCTGACCGAAGACTTCCTTCTCCTTCCGTTTTTCCATCACTATCTTGGGAGTTTATCGGGTCACATTTAGGTTTCATAACAGTAGTTGCTTGAGGGAAGTGGGAGAATTGGGATACTGGGCCAAATGTCTAATTACTCATTACATTGTCCACTTGAAAGGAATCATCTTCCTCGGTTCAAAATAATCAAATGGTAGATAATTCTGAAAGGAGCCACAATTATGTGAAGTAAAACACTAGTGACACCATAGAATTTTCAAGGAGTGCCTCTTAAAACTCAGTTTCAGGCCGGGCTCGGTGGGCTCACGCGTATAATCCCAGCACTTTGGGAGGCCGAGGTGAGAGGAGTGCATGAACCCATGGGCTCGAGACTCGCCTGGGCAACTTGGCGAGACCTTATCTTTACAATAAATCAAAAAATTAGCCGGACGTGATGGCACATGCCTGCAGTTCCAGCTACTTGGAAGGCTGAGGTGGAAGGATCACCTGAGCTCAGCAAGTCCAGGCTGTGGTGGCCGTGAGCATGCCACATTGCCTTCCAGCCTAGGCGACAGAGTGAGACACCGACTCAAAAAAAAAAAAAAAAAAAAAAAAAAATCAGTTTCACAAACAGGTATGCACATAATGGAGTAAATGTGTTATTTTAGCAAACGCTTATTGAGCTTATGCCGTATTTAATGAGGATTCCTCCTGTGATACTTAACAGTTAAGGTGACAGAACATTTTAATAGAACTTAATAGTTAAAACATTTCTTTCACTTACCTTGTTAACGATCTCTTTTTCTATGTGTAACATACTCTCCTTGTTTCATGGGAGAAACGCAGCTGTATATTAGGACTCAAGTAGCAGAAACCCAGGCAAAACTAGTTTAAGCTAAGGAAAGACTTTCAGCTAACTAAAAAGTGTAGGGATATTCCTTCCCCAGCTTTAGGCATCACTGGAAATCATCTTACCTTCATAATGCTTCCTTCTTAGTCAGGCTTTGTTTGTGTATTGAGAGAGAGAGATGGCAACTGGTAGCTCTAGTGTAATTATTATTATTATTATTATTTTTGGGTGTGTGTGTGTGTGTGTGTGTTGGAGTCTCACTCTGTCGCCCAGACTGGAGTGCAGTGGCATGCTCCTGGCCACCGCAACCTCCACCTGCTGGGCTCCGGCGATCCTTCCGCCTCAGCCTTCCAAGTGGCCGGAACTACAGGCGCGCGCTACCACGCCACCCTAGTTTTTTTGATTTATTGTAGAGACGAGGTTTCCCCAAGTTGCCCAGGCGGGTCTCGAGCCCACGGGCTCAGGCATTCCTCTCACCTTGGTCTCCCAAAGTGCTGGGATTACAGGCTGAGCCACCGAGCCCAGCCTCTAGTGTAATTATAATGGTCTACAATAACTCAGTATTTTATAAAAAAGAGTGCTTTTCTCCTTAGTTCTGGTGAAAGTCCACAAGAGGCTTCTGGGTTGGTTTCCACCCATTTTTAATGATAGGAAATGGGCTAATTTGCCCTTGTCTGAGTCACCCAGCTGGTTTAACTTCTCCATCCACCAAGGATCAAAGCAAGATTAATTTGGATTGGGAAAGGGTTGTTTCCCCAAAGGAAGAGATATTGAATAGATTGCACACAGAAATTATGACCCTTTGTTATCAATTTTCGAGCTAAGACTGTTGAACTGCAAGGATCCATAGTCTGATAGCATACACTTTTTTTTTTAAAGTTAACCTAGGAATACTTAGCCATTCTTTAGAATTAACATACTTCAAAAATTTCAAAACTTTTTTTTATGTAGACATGAGTAGTCTTCATGAGTAGTAGTATTTATTTTTTGAGTTGGACACTCACTCTGTCGCCTAGGCTGGAGTGCAGTGGCACACTCACAGCCACCACAGCTTTGACCTGCTGGGCTCAGGTGATTCTTCTACTTAGCCTTCCAAGTAGCTGGAACTACAGGTGCATGCCACCATACCTGGCTAATTTTCTTTTTTATTATAGAGATGATGTCTCGTCAAGTTGTCCAAGCTGGTCTTGAACTCTGGGCTCAGGCAATCCTCTTGCCTTGGCCTCCCAAAGTGCTAAGCTAACAGGCTTGAGCCACTGTGCCTGGCATGAGTAGTATTTAAAAAGCATAGTTGTGGTATAATGAATCCTGTGATAAAAAATCTTGTTAAATAGATTTGATTTGGTTTCAACCGTTATAGAGCTTGAGGTCTTCAGAGTCAGCTGGTGCAAGGGTTAAAAACTAACAAAAGATGACAGTGGATAATGGTTTGGATGGGGTTCTGATGTGAACTTTAAAACATCATTCATTTATTACTTTATTCTTTTACCAGACTTAAAATGTGTGAACTGTTCCCAGGTAGTTGATCTGTTGCAGAGATAGCCACTTTGAAACTAGCCATGTGTTTTAGTCACCTTTATATAATTCGTTTCCAGAATATTCATTTAACAGGTATTAAGGTTTTTTTTTTTTGTTTTTCTTTTTGAGTTGGAGTCTCACTCTGTTGCAGTGCAGTGGCTGCTCCCGGCCACCGCAGCCTCAACCTGCTGGGCTCCGGCGATCCTTCCGCCTCAGCCTTCCAAGTAGCTGGAACTACAGGCGCGCACTACCACGCCCGGCTAATTTTTGATTTATTGTAGAGATGAGGTCTTGCTAAGTTGCCCAGGCGGGTCTTGAACCCACGGGCTCAGGCAGTCTACTCACTTCAGCCTCCCAAAGGCGCGGGATTACAGGCTGAGCCGCTGAGCCACCGAGCCTGGCTGATATTAAGATTTTTCACTTTTTGCTCTTCTAATGGGGTTAGGATAAGCTTGGAGATATTGATAAATTTTATGATGAAGGTGTGTACAAAAGTTTCTTAGGCATATATGTTGTAAAATCATTTAGTTTTGAATCAGACAGTTGTACAATGTTCATTCAAATCAGGCAGAATATCTTATTTTTAATAATTATGTTTGGATAATTGTGTAAACTGAATATTACGTTTTTAGCTTAATGAACTTTTATACTAATAAACTCTGAAAAAGAGGGTTTAAGCTAATTCCTAAAGAATAGAAGCAGCCGGGCTCGGTGGCTCAGCCTGTAATCCCACGCCTTTGGGAGGCTGAGGTGAGTGGTTTGCCTGAGCCTGCGGGTTTGAGACCCGCCTGG